CCCTAATTCTTAGATTCCTATGCATTTGAATTTCTAATACTCAAATTTTCCCGCCATGAAATCACCAAATTCTTAAAGGTTTAGTGCCACAAAACTATAGTTTTCCATATGTCTATATTCTCAAATATCAAAATCTCAATATTTACAAATACTTATATCTCAATTTACCAGATTCCCAAATCCCTACGTTTCCAAATCGTAAAATACCCGAATCCTTAATTTTTTGGATCTCTAATTTTTCAAATAATTCCTACAAACCAAAATCCCTAGATTCCGAACTTCTCACAAACAAAAATCCCTAGATCCCCAAATTCCCACAACCCCAAATCCCTAGATTTCCAAATTCCCAGAACTCCAAATCCCTAGATTTCCAAATTCCCAGAACTCTAAATTCCTAGATTCCCAAATTCCCACAATCCCAAATCTCTAGATTCCTAAATTCCCACAAGCCCAAATCCCTAAATTTCCAAATTTCCACAACCCCAAATCCCTAGATTTCCAAATTCCTACAAGTCCAAATTCATAAATTCCCAAATTCACACAAGCCGAAATCCCTATATCCCCGAATTTCCACAACACCAAATCCCTAAATTCCCGAAACTCCACAACCCCAAATCTCTACATTCTCAAATTCTCACAACCCCAAATCCCTACATTCTCAAATTCCCACAAGCCCAAATCCCTACATTCTCAAATTCCCACAACCCCAAATCCCTACATTCTCAAATTCCCACAACCCCAAATCCCTAGATTTCCAAATTCCCAAAACCCCAAATCTCTAGATTCCCAAATCCCTACAAACCCAAATCCATAAATTTCCAAAAATTAAGGTCCTGAAATATCTGAATCTTCAAATTTCTCAATCCCCAAATCCTCACATAATCTTACCTCGAATCCTCACCAAATTACTAACCCCTCCTAAAATTTGCAATTCCTCACTAAATTAGTATCCTATCCCCAAATTTGTAACCCCTCCTAAAATTTGTAACCCCTCCTAAAATTTGTAATTCCTCACCAAATTAGTCCCCCTCCTAAAACGTGTATCTCTTCACCAAATTTATATCCACCCCCAAATTCTTAATTCTCTCTAAAGTTTTAAAATTCCCAAAAATGTATAAAAATCACCAAAGGTTAGCACTATCAGTAGAGAATCCAGCTTTGCTACTGACTGTACCTGCAGAAGTTGCCACATCACGACTTGGAAGATTTGTTGAGGGTGGAGACATGTCTTCGTTGTCCGACCTTCGACGGAGACAAGTTCGGTCCCCGGTCTCGTCCAGGGTCGAGGCTCGTTCATAAATCGTCCAACTTTAAAGCCAGATTTACAGAGCCTCGAACGATACACGAAACGATACCGATTGTGTTGCGAATAAGCGATGACACAGCCAACGACTCCCTTGCAATTTCTGTTACACGTGTCGCCAACCGATATTTCTGGGCAATGCGTCAAAACGGGAGTTTCCAAGCTTTTATACTTCGACTTGTTATATTTACCGTGATGCGGGGAAATGGTGTAAATAGAGGTTCGGGTCGAAATATTTGGCTATTTGAAGAAATGGGTCGTGCTAGGGGCTTCGCCCTAGGGGAATAGCGTGAAACTATGAGTCGGGAGGAAATGATGTCGAAGGAAATAGTCGACTATATTTGTTATCGTTTAGGTCATCTTGCTGAAAGTGTATTTATTTCAACTTGGAAGACATATTGACATTTTGTGATATCAATGGTGTTTTATCTTATCGATATCAATGTTTTAAGAAATGTTGATAACATTTTCAATATAGAGATGTATGGATATATATGTATAACCAATCGAAATAGAAACAAAATTGAATCAATTAAACCAGAATCAAAATTGAATCAATTGCATCAAAATCAAAATTGAACTAATTGAACCCAGACAAAAATTGGACCAATTGAACCATGAGAAGAATTGAACCAATTGAATTATGACCAAAATTGAACTCACTGAACTAATAGCAAAATTAAATCAATTGACCCAAAATCAAAATTGAACCAATTGAACCATGAGTAAAATTGAACCAATGGAACCATGATCAAAATTGAACTAATTGAATCATGAGCAAAATCGAACTCACTGAATTAATAGCAAAATTAAATCAATTGACCCAAGATCAAAATTGAACCAATTAAACCATGAGTAAAATTGAACCAATGGAATCATGACCAAAATTGAACCAATTGCATCATGGGCAAAATTGAACTCACTGAACTAATAGCAAAATTAAATCAATTGACCTAAGATCCAAATTGAACCAATTGAACCGTGAGTAAAATTGAAGCAATTGTATCAGGAGCACAGTTGAAGTAATTGCATTTCAGTTAAAATTGAACTAATTTTATCAGAATCAAAATAGAACCAATGGAACCTAGACAAAAATTGAACCTCTTGTACCTAGATAAAAATTGAATTGCTTGATCCATGAGTAAAATTAAAGCAATTGAATCAAGAGCACAGTTGAACCAATTGAATTTGGATTAAAATTAAACCAATTTCATCAGAATCAAAATGGAGCCAATGGAACCTAGGTAAAAATTGAACCACTTGACCTATGACTAAAATTGGAGCAATTGAATCAAAATCACTGTTGAACCAATTGAATTTGGATTAAAATTAAACCAATTGTATCAGAATCAAAATGGAACCAATGGAACCTAGACAAAAATTGAGCCTCTTGAACCAACACAAAAATTGAACCACATAAGCCATAAATAAGATCAATGACTCCATTCTTTCAAAAAATGATGTCATCAAACATTTAAGACTTTAATATTATTTCATTTAAAATGTAATTACTTAACTCTTTGCAAAAATACTTGAACATTTTAAAATAATTTCTGAATTTCACCGATGTCAAAATATTTGATCCATCGACGAAGAATAACCGACTCTAAAGATGTATTTGCTTCAGCGGTGATTGTAACATAGTTCGGTTGGCCAGCTACATTTTGTCGATGATTCTCCGCGTACGATATTCTCCCACGATTTTCGTATTGTCAGGATAAAAGGTAGAGTACCATCTCTTCTTCAACTTCCTCTGGGCTGTTCTGCCAGAATCGAGAGTAAGAGGATATACGTACAAAGTGCACGGTGCATAAGGTCTTCTATTTCAAGTGATCTCGAAGATCTTCGACCTAGTAGTAGTTTTACGAGCGCTCTGACCCAGACTTTATCGTTTGAACATGAACCTTGTTCCTTCAGTGTGAACAAAGAACTTCTATCCGATGTGTTGTTGGCTAAAACCTTGTTAATACTTGCTTCAGCCAATTAATTACTCAATACGTGTTCTTTCTTCTTTAAACTTCGAGAGGAAGTAAATATTGAGGTACCAATTGTTTCGCAAGTTTGGCGAAATTTGTGAAATTCTGTATTTTCCAGTTTTATGTTTTTATATCTCTTTCTATTTAATCGAATGTTAGCAGCTTTAATAATATTATGAGATAATGTGAATTGCTTAGAAAGTGCTTTTAAAAAGCGTTTGGTTTAATATTACGCATAATTTTTTTGAAATATTAAGTGAGAAGCTGGAACGATTTCATGTTGCAAATATAAAATCTTTTTGGTAGATGAGGAATATGTGTTGGAGTCTAGAATAATTTATCAGTCTAAACAAATTAGTTAAATTTGTCTACTTAATCTGAACTGTATAAAATTTTTACCTTTTCCACATTACATTGTAAATACAAACTCTTTTATTTACAAACACTTATACATATAAACTCTTTTGCTTAAATAAGAAGTCTGTATAATTCTCTAGAAGTCTCTATAAGAAGTCATACATATAACATAAAGAAGTCCCGTGTTAATGTTAGAGATAATTTAGTAACAAAAATATGGTGTTTCTATTAATATTAAATCTGTAATTTCAGTATCAACGTTTAAAATAATTTGGTGATATAAATGTAGCGTATATATTGAATGAACCTTAAATTCGAGTTCTCGAGCTGAGAAACCCAGCACACCGCAAGGTACATTTCCACCCCACAAGTGGACACCTGTGTTACCACGTGTCTCCCTACTTATCGCCCGCAAACTGTGGTAAATTTACGATCATCCTACTGAAAGCTCTATTTTGTTCGAGTAAGCTAATCCACGAACGCTACATGTTTTTGTACTTTTTGTAAAACAATACTTTATTTCTGAAGATTGTATCGTTTTCAGGACAAAACAAATCAAGCTACTGTATCGCTTGTTTCAGACATGGAATTCTTTTATTATTTGTTTAACAATTTTTAAAATATTTTTAGGAATCTTCTGGCAATAGTGATTATAACAAATTGCAGTACTTATTTAAAATAGTTTTGTATCGATAATGCTATATGTATATTATTATACATGTATATTTATTATATACTTCTGTATATGTACTGTATATGAATACTGCTATATGTCACATATGTAGATATACTACAAAAGAAAAAATTTGAAAATAGTATTTGCCTAAAATCCTCTGAATTTACATTAATAAATACTGAACATAAAATTTTGAAGAAACTTAAATTCCTAAATTTATAACTTATATTTAAACAATACTACATAGATGTTCTTTTGTGACACTTGCGTATTAAACTGTGTTAAGCTTCCTGTGTCTTAAAATACAGAAAACTATTTAATATACCGAAATAGGCTTATTTAGAAAATTATTTAATATACAAAAATTATTTTATTTAAAAAATTTCTTAATATACAAAAAAAATTTTATTTAGACAATTACTTAATACATAAAAATAATACTAATAAATAGTAAATAATTATGTATTAAAACTAACCTAAATTTCTTCTTTGCCTGTTTCAGATACTAACACAGAAAATCACCTGGAAGACACACTAATCCAAAATTAAGTGCACTCAGTATGATGACCTTGAGGATCCCTCCGTATCGTCTCAAGTCGTAACAAATTCGAGAACAACAGTGTGCAGTGCAGAAGTATCGAATATTTCCACTGGAATTAACACGAGTGCTCTTATTCAACTAATACAGCGTGAATTTCGGAGACCTGCTCAGCGAAAATAATATACTGAAGATTAATTTGAATACTTTATCTTTGAAGAGGGAAACAACGTGGTTGCACCTGAGAAAAGGTGAGCACATTATTGAGTCAAACAAAAATTCTATTTTCTGCGCTCCAATTTTTCAGGGCATTCCTTTTCCCGTAATGAAAATTAAAATTTACGAAATATCTGGAAAAAATTAGGAGAAATTCATATTTTCCTCGATTCGAATCATAATTTTAATTAATACACTTTTAGTTGACTTTTGAACTTTTGGTGAATGAAAAATACAAAATTTGCTTATGGACTTTTTTAAAAAGTAATTACATCATTTCAGTGTATTAAAATGTTCAATTATTTATGCAGAAATAATGAAGTATACATAATTTTGTGTATTGTAGAAGATCAACGTCAGAAATATAACGAATATGTTGTATTAATTATAGATACAAAAAAGATAGTATTATTATTTAGTGAATTATTGTTGAAAGCAGACAAATTAATTCAGTGAAAAATTGTTCTCACGCACTAAAAATTTATTTACCATCTTTGTGTTTGAAAAAATAATAATAAATATTTATATTTTTATTCAAAAACATAAATTACTGCAACAGTTAAAAAGTACATTTTTTTGTACACATAATATTATGCGATTTTTCAAAATAGTCAACCATTGTCACTATAATAATTTGTTAGTCCTACATTTCCAATATTAAGTGTTTAATTAAAAAATTTCTAGTCATTTGTCAAAAATAAATTATTGTAAATAATAAATGTAAATACTCAAAGTAAATTTGTTTCGTTCATAATTTTGTGCTTTTAACAATCAACGAATTGCAGATATTATTTATTATGTTCCGTGTAAAAGCAATATGGAAGTGAAGTAGCTTTAACAATGTGCACGAAGACATTTTTGACGGCATTAATCGCATTTTATATGGAAGAAAGAAGCACGGTTATAAAAGGAGAACGTGGAGGTTATGAACGTTGAACGAGAACAAAGGTTCAGTAGAAAAGACTGTTTTTAATCAGCCCAGTAGAAACTCGATTTGCTTAGCGAACTCGTCAGGCGTAAAACAGATACGTGTGGAAAACTCCATTTTAAATCACAATTCTCATAAATTCTCGGCTGTTCGTCGAGAATTTCGTTCTCGAAAGACACGAAATTTGAATATAACACATGATTTAAATTGAAATAAATTAATAACACTTTGACAGCCACGTTCAGTGTAGACATCTGTAATTAAGCTTGAAACGAAAATTAAGAACGCGTACGTCTATAATTTTTTAAGCGAATCGGTGTTAATCGATTTAATTTCTCCTTGAAATTCAACGTTTTTATTTCTTATTGAAATTTAACCTTTTTATCTTTCATTGAAATTCGACGTTTTTATCCCTTATTTAAATTCAATGTTCTTATCCCTTATTGAAATTCAATGTTTTTATTGCTTGCTGAAATTCAACAGTTTTATTTCTTACTAAAACGTTTTTATCTCTTATTATTTAATCTTTCGGATTCACTGAATAATTTTACGCTCCGACCTTTTTAAACTGGTATTGGACATATTTTTTTGGACCGAAATTTTCAGTGGAATGTGCGTTTAATTATTAACATAATTGGTAAAACACTTGATAAACTGTCATTTTTAGAATATTTTAATTTTAATTAGACTTTTATTGTGTTTATTTTAAATTTAACGTATTTGTTCTTTATATTATATTATTCTTCACTTTGTGAACTCACTTCACTTTGTACTTCACTTTATAAAATTCATAATTGTTACTCTGTATTATATATTCCGTCTACAAAATATTTACAATTTATTAAAAAAAGGAGGTCACGAAAAGTACTTGTGTTGTAAAACAAAACGAATTGAAATTGAAAAACAAGGTCTATTGAAAAATTCGATAAAAAGACTTTGTATTGGATTAAATGCTTAATTGGAAATTTTTTAATTGGATTATGCATTTAATTTGTACGTGTACATAACTTTTGTTTAGTAGAGAAAGCTTTAATGGAAATTATAACATCAAATATTCGGTATGTTATTTTTTGGTAAAAATGTCATTTTTCGACGGAAATTAATAACTGAATATTTACTGAAAATTGTCTGAATAATAATAACTGAAAATTGGTTAAAAATAGGATGTGATCAAAGTATGAGGTAAGTAAATGGCTAACCCTTGAAAGATCAGTACTCTAATATTGATACTAAACAAACACAAGATGTAAAACAACCTATAACAATGTCATGTTTGTATAAAATTTAAGGTATATTTTTACTTATGAATTCATTTAAAAATAATGGGATATATGGTCGTTCTATTTTTTACTATTTTTAAAAAGAGTAGTTAATTAACCTACATACATCTAATTGATAGAAAGAACACATATTCATAAAAATATTACTGTAATTTTATTAAAAAATTCTATTTAAATTACATTTGAGAATCCTATTTAAAATTCATTTTCAGTCATTTCTATTTAAAAAGTAACAAATATTCAATTCAGAAATTTCAGTGCCTTCCATCTTCCATAACTTAAAATTAACGCTTAGATTTACGGAACCTGTCAAAATGACGAATCTTAGATTCCTCGGTTCAACTTACAGAAATTAATAAATTACTTCTGTCAAGACGTAGGTTACCCTTAATTGAGTTACAAAAATAATTACATAAATTAATTTATTATGTCGCTTATTTATTACCCTATCTTATTTTTGTCACAAAAGTATCTTACCAACTTGCAATCTAAATGCTACGTGTTTCTACCGTTTTTATAATTTTATTAGATATTTCCATTTTCAACAAATCTCACACTTATATTTATATTTTTTACATTTATATTGTATTATAGTAATATTATTCCATAGTTTTAGAAAATTAATACAAATATTTTTAATTAGGCGAGTGAACAAATCCTTAATAAAATAAATTTCTGTATGAAAATGTAGGTGTCATATAAATGACATGGCAGTCAAAGTGGTAAAATAAGAACTACAAGACCCATCACTTTAACGGGTTCCGCAAATATAGCGTTGAGATACAACACGATGCGCTAGCCGACAGATAATATCCCGCTTTCGGGGCGCAAGAGACTTCCAAGAATCAGTGATATCTGTTGACTAATGGCACAATCGCGCATTTAAAAAGCGTTCACACATAGCGTGCCAAATCTCACAGACTATCTTCCTCACTCCTATGTCACTCCTTGCACTATGCTCGAGCAAGTTAAGATGCGATATCTACGAAAATGACTTATAGGTCCAAAAAAGTTATCCTCGCCACTAGGGGAAGAACCCTCGAAACGTCAGGAGTTAGATTCGTAACAGATTCGTAGATATCGAATATTTATTATACTGGAGACAACCCTGTTCTTGGCGTGTGAGGACCCTGTGGTTCGATCGAACTATACAAGAGCAATAGCCGCAATTGATCACAACAAAAAATGAACACCTATTACATATATTTACAGTAGAAACTATTAATCCTTTAGCCTACAAGTTTTTCGGCAGATGCTTCAGTCACAGCTGTCTAATTATTATTGCAGCGTTGAAGTAAATAAAAAATATTGAAATATAAGGTATATTTTGTATTTAGCGATCTTTAATTATACAAACTGTAATTGATCATACTCAAAACTCGATGTTCATGCAAAGACGATTTACTTTTGTCACATTTTAATTGTAACGTGCGTCACAAGGCTGACTCGATGTTGTAGACTAAGGGGTTTACTCAAACGATCACGTCAAACAATCGCTTCAAAGAACAAGGACAATTGGCAAACGTTTTGAATGGTAACCACGAACGGTAGAACGTCACATTGGGACTGATCAAAGTACAGTAAGCCGTCCTTTAGACCTGGGTCAGCCTCCTACGCACCAGAAGCAGAATTGTCTGCAGTACTTATCTGCACTAATAGTACTAACAACACGTTAGATCAGTATCTGGTGCTAGTAGCCTTGCCAATAGGTAGTCGAATTTTTTCAGAAAAATTCTTGCGAGAGAAAAGAAAATGGTTCCTTCCCTTCTTATCTTTTTTTAACAATAGACCTGATAATCGCAAAGCAAGTCACAAAAAATTCAACCATCTACTAACAAGGTTAGTGACGCCACTTGACGCTTTGGCATAAGGGACCGTTCACACCATACCAGTAAATCATACTACTAGCTTGGACCATTAGATAGTTGAATTTTTGCATTTCTTTGCCTGTACCTGGTCTGTTATTGTGAAAGGAAAATGGTTTCTTTCTTGCTTTGCTTCCATCAAGCACTGTACCGTCATTTGACCCGCCCTCTTTTAACATAAGATTCAATGTCCTTTCAATGTGAAGATTCAGGTAAAGTACGAAACATCTGATACAAAGAAAGAAACGCTAAAATTTGACAACCCCTGGCTTGTACTACTAGCACGACTGGCATGGTGTGAACATTCCCTTAGTCTGCGACAGAGTGTGGAGGTGCGTGAGTAATGCGTGAGATAGGGGCGTTATCGACATACTAAGTGACAGCACATTATTTGTCGGCTAGCGTAATTCGAAAGGTATAACATAAAGGATGAGAAGAAGTTAAAATAAAATTGATTGCAGGGCTCGAAGAAGCCTGCGACTACGGCTCGAGGAGTTCGCGGGGCCCTCCTCAAAAAGAAGGGGCTCCGCACGAGAAGGGGCAC